GTGTACAACATACTGATTAGACATTTATATACCTTACAAAGTGATCACCCCGATAAATCTAGTACCCATGTGGCATTGGTTCATTTGTTTTTAACTAAAAGCACTTCTTAAAGCAGACCCTCTGTCATTAGATTACTGATCGTAAGTATCAATCCTAAATTTGTTTGAATAAAGCTGCTCTGGGAATTTTCAGGGAAAGGAAAATCGTATTGATTTAATTTTGCATAAATTGGGCTGCTCTTGGAAAACATATAGTGAGGTGTCTGTATTTTATCACTAGAATAGAAACTTGGAGTGGGTTGAACGTTCATTTGAGAAAAATACTAGGAAATTGCTAAACCCAACCAATTTCTGTTGGAGATTTCTTTCAGTAATTAGTGAAATAGAAGGAGATCAGAAGACTTGAGTTCAAGTACTAATTCCACTCCGAGGTGGATCTTGGGAGGTCATCCTTAGATCAGGTCAGTCTTTCTCTCTAGTGCGCATGTGTGCACTCCCATTCCTGGAGCTTTAGTGTCCTCACTTATAAAATGGAAGCCATAATACCCTACTGTAGTGTATCATTGTATGCTAAATGTCACTGATGGGAATGTGGCATGCATGCACACAGTCTTAATGGAGGCAGCAGAAAAGTTGAGAGCCACTGCTGGTAGTCTACACTAAAGTCAGTCACTTGATGAAGGGGTCTTTTTATTTTTTTTATGGATCTATTTTGAAATTGGAGTTTGAATTGAGCCTACTTTAAGAAGTCATCTTTAACTGTGTAATGTATTAGTGGTCTTTTGTAGTGAGTGACTTGAGAAAAAGATTTGCCTTGCTAGTGATTACTGCTTTGCTTAATAAGTGGCACTCACTGTATACGGTTGTTCCTTTAGGTCATTTCTTAACTTTGTAGCATGTAGGTAGGATCACCTGTGGATACAGAAAGAATTAGGGACTTGTCTGAATCTCTTCTAGATTATTCTAGAAGACTGTTTCAACTGTGGCAGTGGCAAAGGTAGGTAGAACTGGAAACTCAGAAAAGGCAGGAATTCAGGTGATTGGAGTTAGTTGAAAATGTTTGTTTCTAAATAGGCTTACTTTTCAAATAGAAGAACATTTTTTTCTTCTCTGTTTCTTTTATTTTAAATTTGTGTGCCCCCTTCTGTCCCCCCACCCCAGTGATAGATGCTCCCTGCTTATGAGGACTTACTATTCTGATCAGTTTTTAAAGTCTAGTGTGTTAGATCCCTGGCAAAGAAAGACTAGACTTAGCTTTGGAACCGGAACTGAGAAGGTATTTATCTTGGAGGGGTGTCAGCTGCTTGTTTCTTGAAGTGAGTTCAGATTCCATTCTCCATGGGAACCACCTAGCTAAAGTACTGCTCAGTTCTTTGTCTGTGGTTGGAGCAAAAAGCCCTGTTGGCCAGCCAGCCTATGCTGGCATTACACTGGCAGGAGCTGGGATTTTGAAGGCCTTCACAGTCATGTTTCTGATCAAATTCTACCCACATACAAAGGTTCTTGCTTTTATAGAACCTTTATATATTTGCCTTTTCCTTTCATCACTCCCAAGGTATTGAGAGAAGGGATTAAGTGGTTACTCCTTTATTCACAGAGAGATTTTGATCACCCCTGTAGAGTTCAGAACCAAATCTCCCCAATGGATGGCTATGCTGGTTGGATCTTTGAGACTTGGCT